GGTTTGGGCGCTTCATTCCTAGGATCGTGCAGTGTATATCCAGACTCGAGGATCCCTGTGGCACACTTTTCTATTCATTTCATATTATGTCCCGACGAATGGGCGTTTCCCGTTGCCACGTCGGTCTTGGGACCCCATCCCGACATACACGCTACTTGTTGTCACTCACTCCACATTTGCCACATATGTAGCAAACGGGGACACAGGTGGCAGCATTCAAGACCTCCATGTGAGCCAAAAAAAAAAAACTACAGATACTTTTGTCACACCCATCCTAACAACACCAAAGCTTAGAGGGTATCCAAGACTGTGCTTTCGTATGATTCATCAGGCTGGTTTTGCACGCAGCCTTCTTCAAACGCACCGCTCGATTTATTTTAATTTGGACGTTTAGGGAACTATTGTTGAAGCGACGAAGATTTTCATATTGGACTGACACAGACCCTTACTCAAGCTCCAACTCGATACACATTTGATATCGTCCGTCCTGATGAAAGGAAGAAGGCCCGTGATCTGGTATTACTAGCTGCAACAAAGAACGACGGCCACTCGATTATCGACATATGGTACCGTTTTATGTATCCATCCAGTCGCTTTGTGCCATACAACATGCAGATACATACAGTTTTTCATACCCCTCTACTGTCGATCCATCACACACTTCCCTGATGTTGATTTCAAAAAAAAGATCTGGTGATTCTCAAGAAACACCAGAACTGGGCTCACTCAAAACCGTTGAAGGCTGTGGTTTGTTTCTAACCGAAATCGAGTTTCTTAGCATGACCAGTTTGAAGCTTTGTTTTTTAGAGCTGTCCGAATTGTCCCAATTGTCCAACACTGGCAAAGGCACATGACTTTGCTCCTTGTTGACGATGGACAATAGTTTTCAAGTGTTTGGCCCATTCATCGTCTTCACCTTTGTCTTCTTCTTTGCCAATAGAATGGTTCTCAAATTCCTCGTCTACGAAATTAGACCACTTGTGGTTGACCCATTGTCTCTCTTGGCCAGTCAGCTGGCATGGCGCCAACAAAGCTCGTCCTGCCTTTGATGGTGGCTCCAACATGGGCTCCGCAAGATTCAACTCTTTTTCCGACTAGATTGGATCGAAAAAACGACATGCTACCACCAGAATTGTTGCAAATGGTGTACCATCTCTCTGATCCGAGAGAAAGGACGGTCCTACGTCTCCCTTTTGGTCCCATCTTTGTCCATGAACGAAAAACGATTGTCTCTAGTCTCCATGTGCCAATAAAGCCAGGTCGTCTTCATGCGCGGTCTGTTTTTCGCTGTGATATGATACGTGGTATAAGACAGGGTGCCAGTATCCGCTTTTGGCATGTTTGACTTTTGCTACCGGCAACTATGTTACAACGGAACCACTAGTAAACGCAATGGTTTTGTAGCTGCAGACATTTTATACCCAAAACAATGAAACAACTACACTCCAAAAACGACGTAAGAAAAATACATGGAATTTTCGTTCCCACAATGCAGAAATCCATTTCCACCTTTCACTGCAGCAAATGGGTGATCTCGCACTTGCTCCTCTCGTCTGGTTAACACTCTGAGCCGGAATCCAAACGACAACAAAAGATGTACCCTGCGGCAGTCTGTAGACTCCAAAGACACTTGTGTATACGGAAACAGAAATCGTCGGACTCAAAAAAAGGGGTTTCTCTGTACTTTTTGAATTAATTAAATTAATTCAAAACCCGGCTTTGACAATGAATTCAAAGCCACTCATATCAAATTTGTCTTAGATGCGGCAAGAGTGTCGAACGCTGGGATTCTAACCAGACATTCCAAACGCGTTGATTCCACCAATTCAAGTGGATGTCACTCTTTTGGAGGGGCTCATCCGGAAAGAGTTTCGTCAACTGGTCCTGGTGGACGAAACACATGTGGAGGACAGACGTATGACGACTCGACCAGTGAGGCCCAAGGTAAATCCAAGTAGCTTCTTATCTGGTAACTCGATGAGGAAGTTGGTTTATGTTTCTTTATGGCACTTTTGTCACAAACTTTACTAGTTTCGACGATTGCCCATCGTTTGAATCAATTCGTCCTGATCTTGAACCTAATTCCTGAATTTAAAAGTTGGAACCCGTGGACTCGGTGTCGCGGCTATTGGAAGTGACTGTTGTAAAATCCTTTGAGGTTGATGATGTCTGTGGTGTCTTCATGGATTGCAGGATTTCCAAAATCTAGGACTATTCTGGAATGACTTCGTCTCCAACTGACCCATTCTTGCTGTCAAGAGTATTGGAATCAGCCTTTGGAAACGAAAACGCAGAAAACTATTGACAGAAGCACTCGTACTCATGTACTGTTCCCCCTTCAGAAGCGCATCTTAGCTATTACAAGCGCGTATTTCCATCCCTTCAAAGTGATGAGTTCGAATTGGAGTTGTATATTAATTCAATGCATTGAATTAATTCACTAATTCCCAAATTGGGAATGGATTCAAAACTATTCCAAGAATTGGAAAAGCACTCAATGCAAGAAGCGCCAACATGTCGTCAACCCGGAACTCTACCACTCCTACCAACACAACAAAGACTGATGACTTTCAGGTCACAAAAGGAACACATGATTACGTAAGCATCGTTCACTTGGCAGAAGACTTGAGAATGGAATGATGTATCTAGTTGGACATCACATAATATTGTGACACGAACGTGTCGTTGGCCTGTCCACAAGGAAAGTCTGCACTCTGTCCATCAGAATCGAAGCTCCGAAACCACTCTAATAGATTAACCATTTACGTCTTGGAACCTTCTGCAGCTCCTTGACAAAAAAACAGCCAGTCTCCTTCCAACGGTGGGAGTCTGCAAGTGTCGCTTCTTTGATACCATCTATATCCTCTGTCGTCCACAAGCCTTCCTCCTTGAGTACTTCTACTAGGGGCAAAAACCAGTCCCTTTTTCCGTGGCAGCTGATGAACTAGTTGACCACGCTCGGCATTTAGCATGTAGGACACAAAATGATGTCTGTCCGCTTCTTGGAATTCCGACAGCGATGTCCTCCATTCGAATAATTCAAGCGATATCCTGGCTGTATCTAATATCGACTTCATCTCAGCTGCACCTGCAAAGTGCTTGTCCAAGTGGTGGAACACGTCTTTGATACACTTCTTCACTGGCGCCGCGAGAGCGACATTACGGTGGACTCGTTTACTGGCAACTACCTGTTTAGCGACAGTCATTCGTAAAGTAGGGGAGGAGGAAGCTGCCTGGCTCGTGATACTGGCTGTAGCCATTCGTATTCGTACAGAAGAGCGTTTTTCAGTCGACTCACTTCCTTGAGGAAGCGACCTTGAGGTCCCTTGTGGAGACGGATGTCAATCACATGAAAATCGTTCAAAGCAGAACACGACACGTACCCAATAATGCCTCTCTATCCAAAGACCCTTCGTCGGAGGACGATTCCGTTTCTGTGACCTTCAGTTTGCGAGAAGACATCCACTGTGGTGGTTTTCCTGGTGCTTGTGGTTTTCATACGTATTCGGTAGACAAACGTACGAGGTGGTGAGTTTTTCTCCTTCCACATGTCTAGCAGTCTCTCCATGTCAGCAGTAGCTTGAATTGGATCCATACAGTCTTCGACAGTTTCCGCGATTTCCTGGAAACAACATAGAAAGTTGAGTCCAAAACACAGAGGGATGGGATTGGGTGTCGAAGGTGGCTTACTTGAAGTGTCAAAGGACGGCTACCAGTTTCGTCCAAATCCAACATCTGTGACCGCAGAGTTGTCCATCGCACGGCATGTTCGTCACCAAGAATCGTGGCGAACATGTCAAAGGGTAGAGACACGGTATCTAAAGGGGTTCAGGTCAGTATTGCAGCATCCCTTGGGTCTTTACTTGCAACGAATCCCATTGGTCTTGGCTTTCAGCAGTGGCGATAACGAAAACCTGCCTTTGAAGTTCACCGTGCTTTAAAAAGGCCAAAAGAAGCATCCATTGGCTACAGTTACGTGAACCAGACGCGTTCCCGCTGTACCCTTTGCGTTCTGGGATGGTTTTCGCCAGTGGTGGCTGGCCTCCTTTTGTGGGACAATGCGCAGAAACGTGTTTTGATAGGAAGTAGGCAACAACAACGAAACAGAAAGAGCCCACCATAGAATCCCTTGCGATGGAAGACATCTCCATGAATGTAGCCAACACCACCATAGGAATGGATCTGTTGCAGTTTACGCGATGAAAGACCGTTTGACCGGAGGACAGGAAGCAAACCAACATTTTTAAAGCCTTGGTCCTTTCGTGATCCGTCAATGATGGGACTCTGTTTTACTTCATGGAGAGGGTTTGACCTCTATGACGTTGATTTTGGATTTGGAAAGCCCATTGGATTCATGTAAGCTGTTAATGGGGTTGGTTTTTTGCTAGTGAAGCACCCGAGTAAAACAACCCTAACCAAATAGGTATCCTACTTATCCTAGTCCTATACACGCCAAGAGCCCATACGTCTTCATCATCTACCATTTTTCGTGCGCAAGCTCCCTGTGTACCTGTACCATCAGTTCCACTTTGGCTGTGGGTTATGTCGATACAGCAGATGGGGAAGACAATTCACTTGACTGAGTTTTCCGGTGATAGCACTCACGTTTGTATTGGTTTACAGCTTCTCTGTCTTCTTCTCGTTTTTTTTTCATGTACGCCTTCATGTACTCCTTCTTTTTTTCGTTCTGAGCTTTTAGATGTTGAACTTCGACAAAGTCTGACAGCTTTTGTGTTAGCTCTGCTAGCTTTGCTAGCTCTGCTACGGATATGGTAGAATCGGTAATTTCCATCCTTTCTCTTATTCCATTTCGCAACAAAATATTTTTTCATGCGCCTGATTCTTTTCGCCCCAACGTTCACAGACCTTCGAAGAGAACCCATCTGGCTCACTTTCAGAAGAGGAGTAGATGGATCACGCTGAGCTTGTCCGCGTGACCAGGTCAAACGCAGACGTCTTTTTTTTTTCTGGGGTAATACCAAATTGTGGATATCCCAAAAATGCTAGCCAAGACGAATGCCGCGTTTTTAAACCTCTATAAAGTCTCGAAGGATGATCTAGTCGTCGAACACACCCACACCAGTATGGCTGGGGGATGTTACCATGTCGAGTTGGCTGCCAAGTACACCTCCTTTTTGAGTTCCTATGTCAAGGCCTTGACACTTAACGAAGGTCTCTATCTCACCGAACGGATCCCAAAGCGGGGTGGGTTCTGCTTCTTTATGGACTTGGATTTTGACTTTGTCGACGACGTGGCAACCTACACAAACGACGAATGGCAAGAGTGTTACCGTTTGTGTGCTGCTAGATTACAAGAGGTGCTAAAGACACGTATTTTTCTCTCCGTTCGTCTGTGCAAAATTCATGTTCATTGCCCTGACTTGATCGTCACGTCAGATCAGGCCAACATCTTGGCAAAACAATGTCAAGACGAGGTATTTGATGGTGACCATGTTGTAGATATGCAAGTGTATTATGGGGGTTTGCGCATGTTGGGATCCGTAAAACCACCTGAGCGTGACCACGATCCCGGATGGGTCACAACGAAATCCTACACCTTGTTGGACAAGGAATTCCTTCCGTTACCACTGGGCCTAGACAATATCGAAGCATCGGTTGCGTGCTTGAAACTGGCGTCTATCTTCAACCTCGAGGGCAAGGAATTGACCCATCCAACGGGACTACCAGCTGCCTTGAGTGCCACTGTGACTCGGAGACCAAGGCATGAAAGCACGTCAGCCATCACGCCATGGATCTATGAAGCATATGGTCACGATTCCAATGTGATCAAATCGGTAAAGACCAAGACCGCAGGAGTGGGCAGATATGTCCTTGTCGAGTTGGACGAACGGTATTGCCCGTTTCAGCAGCGAGAGCACAAGGGGAACCGACAGTATATTATCTTGTCGAAACGAGCTGGAAGCTATCAAAAGTGCCATGATCATGAAAGCTGTGATGATCTAAAGCACCATCCCATTTCCTTTGCCGATCTGCCAAGCCATGTTCAAAACATCCTCTTGAGGCTCACTGAAAGCAACGACGACGACGACACCGACGCACCCAGGCCCGTGGTGGCTGGACAAGACTTTCGCAAGGTCAATGATGCCCTAGGTATCTCTCATGACGATTGGAGGGACTGGAATTCCACGGCAGTGGCCACTGGGCACCAACTGTGGAAGGAGGCCACCCAGTGCATCCTCCACCCGGCGGTGGTTCATCCCGTCGCAGTCAGAGCGTGTGTTCTCATCAAGCAGGACAAATCTGTTCATAAAATCTGCCCCGATTGCGGTGCCGATGTCATGAGCAAAAGTGACGCCAAAAAAGTACACCGGGCATTCTCTCAGGACATCTTGCATACCCCGGCTAGTCTCAATTCCGACGGAAAAAAGACTCCTTTTCAGAAATTCACCCACACGGTCTTGGAAGAGGCGTCGAGCCAAAACTTACGGCGTGATCGAAAAACCGGAGATGTCTATGCTCCCGTGGAAGGTCTCGCCTTCGCGTTCGAGAAACTCTGTGACGCTAAGACATGGGTTCAAAACTTGTTTGCTGACAATCGAGAATTTGAGTCCGACGTGTCGAATGTGGACAAGCTGGTCAAGTATCTCCAAGACTTTAAGAACTCGGCCTTCCCGTTCTTGACCACCCAAAGAAACTACCTTGGATTTACCAATGGCATTTACAATACCGTGACGTGTGAATTCACCGAGTTAGCTCAAGTTCCAGAGGACTTTGGTGTGGTTGGCAAGTATTTGCCTTATGAATTCACTGGAATGACGGAGACTCCCTTGCTGGATGGTGTTTTGAACTACCAGTTCAAACCCGAGGTGCACGACATTATTTACATGCTATTGGGGCGGATGTTTGGTATTCGCGATCACTTTGGGGTGATGTTGTACTTTTTGGGGGAGTCAGGTGTGGGCAAGTCGTTGCTCATCAAAGTCATCAGTGCTTGCGTGGCGAATGTGGGGGTCATCGGAGGAAACCTGGAACAGACGTTCGGGCTGGATGCGCTGTACGAGACGGACCTGGTCACTTGCGACGACCTGCCCCGAAACATCTCCAAAGTGTTTTCGCAAGACATCTTTCAGTCGTGTATCACGGGTGGCAAGGTGAATGTAGCTGCCAAACAAAAGCGTGCCATCATGGTCGAATGGACCACACCCCTCTTCTTTGCTGGCAATTGGTATCCAGACTATCTGGACATGGGTCAGATCTCTCGACGTATTGTCATTGCCAACTTTTCTCGACCTCTCCAGGAGGACGATCCGAGCTTGTTAACTAGGATTTTGGCGACAGAGTTACCAGCTTTTGTTCACAAAGTCACCCGAGCCTACAACGATTTCCTACTCAAGCATGCCAGTCACTCGCTTTGGACAGTGTTGCCACAGTACTTTCGTGATGAACGAGACGAGCTCAGGATGGATCGGGACCCTCTCCTTCGATTTCTTAGAGAGCGAACCGTATACATGGCAGGAATTACCACTGCTATGGCAATTGTAAGGAAAGAATTCGCGGAATTTTTTGGTGGACCGGCCCCAAAGAAACTCAACCACAGTTCCTTCAAAGCAGCAAACCCTTTGTATCAAATCACCAAAGTCAAGCTTTGCAAACATTGTCGAAAGCGACATCTGGCAGGATGTTGTGACCGTTACAACCGGGCGGATTCCACGTCACGTGATGTGGTAGAGAACATGCAATTTCTGGATGTAAACGAGGAGATGAGTATCGGTCTGTGATTATTTGTGATTATTTTGTGATTATTTTGATAAGTTGTACTAGTTGACTAATAAAGAGGATATATTGACACCATGATCGTAAGAAGATCTATTTTGTGATTATTGTGATTATTGTGATTATCACTATTTGACACTTTTAGATCAAAAAAAGGTTTATTTTACTTTTTCTGTGTTTGCCATCAATCGATTTTCAAATATCCATCGAATCACATAATCACAATATCAACAACACTAAGTTTTAACCAAGGTCCGCTGTTTGTAACCACCATGCCAAACATGGGAAGAAAGGTTACCACTTGACAATGCCTATTTGACACAAATGTCTCTGTCGCATCATTAAAAGAGCCTTCTACTTCTCGGATTCTTAGTATACCGATGGGTATGAGAGAGCCAGTATCAAATCTCTTGAAGGTTTTTATCCAAGCCAAGGGCAATAGCCACCAATATCAAGTGCTGGACGCAATCGCACACAGGAAGAGAAATGGGAGATTAGAAGATATGTCAAGTATAGCAGTATGATAAATATCTACAAGTCGACCATTCCCATCGTTTCGCTTGGGCAAGAGTATAAAGTAACAGAGCTTTGAGTTTGGTTTCCTCCATTTCTCCAACTCTGAATGATAAACCAACACGCTTGTTCAAGGTAAGGAGAGACGAATAACAGGATTCATTATTTAGTTCCGAGCTGTTGTTTTCTGATGCACTTCATGACTCGCACAGCGAAGACAATTCTAAAATGACGACGAGACTCGACGAGATGGTATTGTATCTAGCTCAAAAAGCTTCAGGATCCCCGCAACTCCTTGAGTGACAGAAGAAGGTATTGAAAGTCGTCAATCAACTCCAGGGCATATGGAGACGAAGCGAACGAAGCGAACAAACAAAACACGCATCCTGAAATTGAAAATTCCTGACGATTGATTAGATTTCTGACTCATCGCTAAGCCTCTTTCTTGGTGCTGAGGATATGGTGACACAGATTGATCTTTTTGCGTGTCGAGATGACTTGGCATTGATCAAATTCGAGCTCTTTGACTAGTATAATCCCAGATTCATGTTATATTTGGTCCGTCTGTCAGCAAGAATACCCAGATTCAGACACAATAACAAATCTTGACACATTCAACAAAGTCCAATAGTTGAGAATCAAACGGCGTTTAGCGAGGTGGAGAATCAACTGGTTGAGAAGGAAGTAGCACATCACCAAAAAACGGGCTGCCTGGAATTGATCGGCTACACTCCACCAAATCTATTTTTGAACCCCGACGTGACACAGGAAAACTGGTGGTTTCAACTCGGAGAGTTGAAACCACGTTAACTTTCAACAAACCCCGGGAACGAGATTTCAAATCAAGCATTTCAAACCACGAATCTTGTGGACTTTAAAGGTTCCAAGACATGGAATCTTGGATTGAAAAACTATTTCGACTCCGATCTTTCGTGTAAGAACCTCCACCCTCTTCTACAAAAACAGGTCAGAAGGTTTGATGTATCGCAAGGTACCACTTGCCAAAAATGGAAGTGATGGTGTTAGCACATTGAGACATTCCCTAAAATCAATTCCACTTCCTAAAAAGATCGCCTTTTGGATTGTCGATGTAGGTGGACTCGTATCGGATTGGTCTTGGACGTATAACGGCCTACAAAGTACCTTGCGGCCCAATCGAGTCGCAAAATAGTTACAATTTGACTCCTAGTGTCATCAAGTACTCCATGTACTAGAAGAATGGAAGCAGTACCACAAGTTGAAGGACCAACACCAGAAACGGTTGGAATAGATGAGGAGCTATGTCTCAGCGGAGGAATGCCTCCTCCCACAAACTGCAAAGACGCCAACGCGTAGCCGAACGCACCGGATATTTTTTTGTGGATGTTAACCTTAAGTAACCCGAACATGTCCTCTCTCAACAATACTCCAAGCAGTGAGCCTTACAATGCCTCGTTCCTCATCAAGTACATCTGTGAGAAGGGACGAGAGACGCACACGTCTTTGAAAGGTGGAGTCTATCGTGTCTCCTTCGAGGACCACGACGCCTTTCTAAGCGACTATTGGAAGGCATTTCGTACGAAACAGGGTCTATATCTAATGGAGCGTATTTCGAAAGGCTGCAAGTTTCGATTCTTTGTCGACTTGGACTTTGGATGGACAGAGGACATGTCTACGAGGAAGGACAACGAGTGGAGAGACTTTTACAAACAGCTACGGGATATTGCCTCTGTGGTATTAAACACCCGTGTGATGGTGAGTGTTCGACTCTGCAAGATCCACATCCACTGTCCCGACTTGGCGGTCTCTGTCCAGCAAGCCAAATCGCTCCTGGAAACGCTACGCAAGGCGCTGATGGCTCGCTTGCCTGAACTCGACACTGAAAATATCTTTGATGGTTTGATGTACAATAGTGGCCTGAGAATGCTAGGATCCTGCAAACCGGATCGTATGAACAACGATCCCGACTGGGTGCAAGCGCGACACAAGTATTACCACCCCCTAGATGAGGACTGCGAGCCATTGTATTTGGAGGCCATGGAAGAAGAGGATGCCCTGACATTGCTCAAAGACATCTCGATCTTGATCTTGGACGCGCCACGAGAACAGATCGAGGCCTCCTCCTCTGAATCCACCGCAGAGCTTCCCTGCGATCAACATATCGTCTGTGGCCAGAATCCGGTTGCAAAAGGTGGGAACATCCTACCTTGGATCCAGGAAAAGTTACCACCACTTTCCCAGCCGTGTCAAGTCGTTTCAGAAGAAAACGGTAGGTGGGACTGGTGCTCATTGAATGGGAGGAGTGATATCGCCCGTTTCAGCAGCGATATCACCGGAGTAATCGACAGTACATGAATGTTCACCCCTCCAGTGCAACCTCTCAACGGTGTCAGGACGAAGGTTGTGCAGGTACATCACCCCATCCCGTAGGTAAAGCTTCCCGCTGCAATCAGAAACCCTTATGCGAGGACGACCAGCTGGAAGACATTATAAAGCAAGTGGTTATCTTTGACTAGACGCTTTCAATGAGATTGTGACAGTCGGGGACATCAAGTTTTCACAACCACATGGCCTTTAGGGTTGACTTGACTTTGAAATACTGTCACTTCTGTAAGAAGACGTCTCAGTGCTGCAACCTTGAATGTCACAACACGGGAAAAGCCTTGCTTGTTAGTTTAGGTTGCAACAATAGGTTGGTCAAACCCAATCCCAAAGTTCCATGGCAAATGGACTCACAGCACTTAAAATTCATCTTTCAATGGACCCGTGGGCCTAGTCCATCATGTGAACAGCAAAATTTATAGGGGAGAAAACGCTGATTTGGACATCTCCTTTGACCTGGTTCATTCCATCTTTGAGGATCCACAACTCCACACCGTGGTCTACGGGGCTCTAGATGGTACGACGAGTCATGTGGTCGACTTTCTATACTTTTTATAGCTCGAGACCGGTTCGCCCATGGCGACACTCGAGCACAAGGCGGATACGAGTTTGTTGCACCATGTTGGGTGAAACGATCTCGTGGCATCTTTGGTGCGATTCGTGAGATTCTGATAGAAAAGCTCCAAGTTGTCAAGCAGTACTATTCAACCCATAGACCAGATAGAGAAGACAAGGTCTCGAAACAAGTTGCCAAAGTGAGACAGATCATCACCGGCATTCTCAATAAGGAAAAAAGAATCTAGAATCTGATGCCACCACAAAGTCGAAGCGCCCCTTGTTCTTAGAGAGCTTGGATGTGAAATCCCATCTTTTGGGATTTGAAGACAAGGTGTATGATTTCATCGAGAATCGTCTCCGAGAAGAAACACCCGAGCATATGGTCAGTATGAGTGTAGGATAGAATGCAACTACCAAGGCCCACTTCGTGGTACGGGCTCAGCCGGACCAATTTTTTGTGGACAGCCAGCCAGATCCTGCACAAAGACAGTAAGTATGTCTTGACCCTATTGTCCATGCTTGCAAATGGAGACGAAGCGAACAAATCAAACGACTAGAACTTGCACTTCAATAATTTTCCAAATTGGAAATTATTTCTAAAATCTCAAACATGCTCGGTATTTGGCAATTGGGGGTCCGTCCCCATCGACCCCTGTCAGCGCGTATTTCTACCACGAACTGTCCGACTGTGTACAGGACTTGGATATGACAAGTGCCCCTGACAAGGTCTGAAGTATGCTGGATATGATACAACCGTCGAATGTACCATCGTCCTCACTGACATGTACGTACGTCTGGCTTCCTTAAACCGATGGCATCTCGAATCCTCGATCGTCCCTCGCTCTCAGAGCTTACCGACCCTGATCATGTCGTGTGTGTGTAAAGTAGGCATGGTAGCCGTGGTAGGCCAGTT